CAGAGACAGAGTGGGGAACCAAACAGACAGATCAACGAAGTACACTGCTGAGGGGAGCAGCGGGAGGGTCAGGAGAGGTCTGCTGTGCCATGTGGTTACCTCCAGGCCAGGTGGGGATCAAACTCATGCTGAAGTGGCCTTAGCCTCTTACTGCTGTGCTCTAACCCACTGCGCCTCTAGGGAGGGCCTCATTAGTGATTTTTAAAGTAACACAACAATGTATTGGTCTCTCAAACATTAATAAAAATTCAAATTATACAAATAATTTTTTTCTCCCACTAACTGCCTTCTCCCCACCCCTATTGAACAAGGAAGTATTGCAGCTGATGGTCAGACAACCATCTCTGGAAATCTGCCTTGTTTATAATAGAGGCTTATCTGTATTGGTTAAATAAAAAAGTCACTGTGTTTAAAAATTGTTAATGTGAAAACATAATGCTTTTACTTTTAAAAAAACCAGGTGTATTAGTGACATCTTGTATTTCTTCTTCTTTTTTTTTTTTAAAGATTTATTTATTTATGCATATAGAACTGGGGTACAGGCCAGAGGTGCAGGGGCGGCAAGAGGTTTCACCAAAGATAGAGTGGGGAGCAGAACAGGCAGATCAACGAAGTACACTGCTGAGGGGAGCAGCGGGTGGGTCAGGAGAGGTCTGCCGCGCCCTGTGGTCTCCTCCGGGGCAGGCGGGAATCCAACTCACAAGGAAGTGGCTTTAGCTTCTCAGTGCTGTGCTTTAACCTGCTGCGCCACCAGGGAGGGCCCAACATCTTGTATTTCTTATAGTAACAGAATATCTAACTCAAACTGGCCTACACACTAAAGGAGGTTGTTGGCTCCTCTAATAGCAAAGTTCTAACAGGAAGGTAAGTTAGAGCAAAGACTCAACAATGTCAGGGTCGAGGTTCTGTCCATCTCATTTGTCTCCCAAGTAATGTATTAACCTACCTATAGCAAAGTTGTGACTAGTGATAAAACCCAATTATCACTAAAAATTTATTGAGACACACTATGAACTAAGCACTGGGGACTCAAAGATAACTAAAACATAACAGCTGCCTTCCAGGAGTTCGCAGTGTAGTAGGTAGAGCAAGCCTGAAAATAACAGGGCTATATAGTCGACACCACAAATAATGAAAATCTTTTCAGGGTCCTCCCTGGTGGTACAACAGGTTAAAGTGCAACACTGTGAAGCTAGCAGCAGCTACTTCAGTGAGAGTTCAATCACCCACCCCAGAAGTGACCTGAGGTAACCTACATGGTATGATAAACCTCTCCTGTCTCTCCAGCTGCTCCCCTCAGCAATGTACCTCATCGATCTGCCTGTTCTGCTACCCAACTGTCTCTGGTGAATCCTCTCACCATCCCTGCACCTCTGGCCTGTACCCTAGTTCTGTATGCATAAAAAAAATCTTAAAAAATATCTTTTCAAAAACAGATACAAGAGAAAATTGTATAGAGGACATGAATACCAAAAGAGATTTCAAAGCGTGAATATGAGTTGGTTGGGAAAGCAAAGCAGGGTAGGATCAGTTCCTGTCTTGATGTTCCTCACAAAGGTATGTATGAGCACAGTCACAGACTGGTATTCCATAGAATGAAAGTGAAAGGTGGCAGATGTCATTTCAGGGCTAAAGAAGAGGCAAAGAGCTGAACTATATTTTACAGTTCAAACCAAATGGTTTGAAATGTGGGCAAATTCATTGTTTAACATATCACCCATTAGGAATTAGTGGGAAATGAGAATGAAGATGAGCAGACTACTGCACAGCATGAATGATTTTATAAAGAGACTGAATTAGGAAAGGACAATGATGATAGAGAAAAGGGGTGGAATAAAAATAGATCTGGGTAATAAAATTGGCAGGAGTTGGTGACTGGAGAGAGACAAAGAAGGGAATGAAATAACTGAGACCTCTCTTTCAACTTGCTTGGACAACTGGGGCTGGTTAACTTCCACACATATTTCCACTTGCATGCTGGATATGGCTTCCTAAACAGTCACCATACTCTCCCCTTTCCAGTTCTTCTATGCTTCCTTCTCCCTGTCCCTCCACAAATGTCACCATGCCTATCAGCCTTGCATGTGAATTCCTTTCACCTTTTTCACTTTTAACTGCTCCCAGAATACATTCCAGACTCTTCTCAAGGAAGAGTCGTCTCATGGCCTGTTGGTCCACCCATTTTGCTGTCATTCTGATTCCCTGCCATACCCACAATCCACTCCCAATAAAACTACCAAATTCATTGATTATTTATACAAATTGTGCTTTGTATTACACAGCTCTGATGGTCTTAACCACCTGTGAATGGGCAATAGTTTGAGTCAAGGTTAGCCACAAGCTAATGTGCTTAAACAAGGCGTGTTTAACAAAGATGTTCTATAAAAAACAAGGAGCAACTGATTGCAGTCTGAGAGAGTTCCAAAGCAAGTCCAAGAGAGAGGAAGAAAAAGAAATGGGTGTGGACAGATGCAAAGATGAAGGAACAAGTTACTGGAGGATCAGTTTGATCACCATGAGAAGGCTAACTGGCTGGATTTGTATTATTGTGTGACCTCGAGCAAGTCACTTTAATGTCCCTAGAGTCTAACGGCCAAGGTTGTCATTCTGACTCTACCATTTCTAATGATCAGTTTCCTTACCTGTTAAAGGGGAGTAATAACAAGACTTACCTCTCAGGATTCATAAGGGGAATAAACAAAGCATTACATGTCAGCCCAGTGTCTAGCAAACAATAGATGTAGTAAGACTTGGCTATTATTACATTTGTCTTAAACAATGGCCCATTTCTCAATGAGGCCTAGCTGTAAGCTGCTGTTATATGCCAAGGAACTTCCCAGTTTTACATCAACTCTACTTTTTTTTTTTTTAAAGTTTATTTTTACATCATTTTGCACATTTTCAACTCTACTTTTTTAAAGACTGAAACTGTTTCCCGTTTTCCTCCTCCAGTAACCCAGGTGAATCTCTGTTCCTTTCTGCTTGGAAGAATGGCATATAACCTGCTTTCCAAAATAAACCAAGCTCTTTCAAATTTGTGCTTTTGTAAAAGCTATTCTTCTTTAGACTGATACCTTTCGTCTTCCTTAGACTAATACCTTTCGTCTTCCCTATCTTTATCTAATCAATTTTTAACCGAGAATTCTAGTGATCCTGTTACATATTAAAGTTCAGGAATCACTATTTGGGTGAAAATGAGAACTAGCTAAGGTAAATTTCTAAGTCTCATTTTGTGTATGAGCCGAGATGAAGTTAGCTGGCAGCCTGAGATGAGCTGTTTGCCTGGGTCCTGGAGGCTAGATATTGCCGAGAGCACTCGCTGTTCTAACTGGAGGTGGAAAGCCAGGTTGCAGTCAGGAAGCGTTTCTATTTCAGCACGTCTGGTAAGCTGTTTAAAAGAGGTTCAAAAGAAAGGGACCTCCAAAGTTTTGGTAATTTGCTCTGGTTTCCTTCATTCTAAATGGATATTCAGGTTTCTGTCCAATTTTAACATTTTTCTTACAGTTTTTAAAGCTTCGTTAAAAAAAATTGTGTAGTTCCAGAACCACGAAACAGATCCACCCCGACCTTAGCAATACATCTCTAAATCTGTCCATGTTAGAGTACTTCGGCATAAACAGGTGCTGCCCGTAACTATAAAATCAATTTTGCTTTTCCTTTTGCATCTGGTATGTTGTCTCCGAGGTGCTCGGGGTTGGTTTTTTAGGGCGAGCGCACCCGCACGTGGTGGAGCCTGGAGAACCTGCTGCAGCAGTTAGACGCGAGGAGGTCGCGGTGGGGGCGGATGGGGAGACCCAGGAGCCACAGCTTCTGGGGCGGAGCTGGGCGCCTGAGGTAACGCAGCAGCCAGAGTTCCCGCCTCCTCCTACCTGAGCAGATCCCGGCTGAGCTGCTCCGACACCGTCGCCTTCAGCCGGCGCCGTTCACAGGGACCCTTCCTTTGCAACCCCTTACTGCAAACTCTAGGGGACCCCAGAAGTACCCCGGGAGCCGCAGCGCCCTCCCCACAGCGGGCCATGTCCCACAGAGGTTCGGCTGCGCCCCGCAGGCCCGATTTTCGGCCTCTTTCTCGGGCTTTGGAAAGGGGCGTTCCCGACCGAAAGCTCCGCTCCCGCCCGAGCCCGCCCCTACGGGCACGGCGGACGCCTTGGTCTGTTTGTAGACGGTCCCTTACTGCAGTGTCGGGGGCTGGGGACAACTCCGGCACGTGACCCGGAGCGGTGTGCGCACGCGTAGTAGCCCTGTTTACCTCTGCCGGCGGGCACTCCGCCCTCCGCCCCCCCACCGTTGCGCCCCAGGAACTGTGCCCCTCGGGACTAAGCAATCCCTGGGGTTCTTTGTCCCTGTTCCTCCTCTTTGCTTTTAGGTTGGTGCTGTTTCAATGGAGGTTTTATGGAGAGGCTACGTTAGCTCAACCTGTGCAGTCTTTCTACACTTTGTCTTCCTGGGATGTCAGTAGATTTTAAATGTTTTGATTTGGTCCCTTTTTGATTCAGGAAAGACAGGGTCACGAGACCTTTCCTGTTGTCCAGTCAGACCCATGTAACTGCTTTGGATAAATTCTTTGAATAAAGAATGTTGAGGATTTGAGGGGCAGGCAAAGAACTTCGTAAAATCAGCAGAAGTAAAAAAATACCTCCATGGTTCCCTGCAAAGAAAAGGCATAAAAGGCGTGCAGAAAGCCTCTTCCACTTCTATTTCAGGGAGAGATTCATATATCTACTCTTGGACTTTAGCTGAGAAGTGTAAGATTATATTCCAGCGCTTTGCATGTGAAGTAATAACATTTATTATAAGGGAGGGAGGAGGTAAGGCTAGAGGGGTAGCACCTTTAATTGAGCAGGGGAGTAAGTAGATTCAAGAGCTATAGGATGTTGAATCTTCTCTCGGAAGTAGATATTGTGGAATCCGCAGCCCCCCATATTCTTGGGAATATGGGCTTGGTGCCCAGAGTTCCTGCTTGTCAGCTAGGTGTGGGGTCATAGGGAGAAGGGGGGGGCTCTCACCAAGGGCAAAAGTCCTTGTTTGAGGAACAAGGGAAACCAGTATCTGCTGATAAGAGCAGGAAGTTATTAGAACACAGATTATATGGGCCCTTCCTGGTGGTGCAAGGGGTTAAAGCACAGCACAATGAAGCTATAGCAGCCACTGCAGCACCAGTTCTATTCCTGACTGGGGAGCTGACCCACATGGCCAGCAGACCTCTTCTGACCCACCACTGCCCCCTCAGCAGTGTATTTCAGTACATCTGCCTGTTATGCTCCCCACTCTGCCTCTGGTGAATCCTCTCACCCTCCACATCTCTGGCCTGTACCCTTGTATGCAGAAATAAATACATCTTAAAAAAGAAATACAGATAATATGCTTAGATTGACAAGAATAATAGTGCCCGGGCCCCATAGCCCCTGGTGACATCACCCTAATTTATTTCCCCAATAACTGCTCCCCCGGGCATGTACACTTCTTACTATTTCACACCTCTGCACTCAATACTAATAAATACAAGGAAGGGGCCCACGCATCACTTTCAGTGTAGCCCCTCTACTCTCAGCTCCAGGTAGACTTCTCCTAAACCTTCCCTCATCCTACTCAGCTTCCAACCCTGCTGCCCCAAGGCAGCAGGATATCATGTAAAAGCCTTTTCCTACTTTTCATTTGATTGCTTCCTCCAAAGGAAGAAAACTCAAGAGTTCTGCTACATTCAACTTTGCACTGATAATGAATACTAATCTACTGTAAAATAGATGGACCGCATACTATTTGACTGGCCAAGAAATAGCTGTTTTTCCAAATATGCCTTTCTCAAGTATTCACAAACTTTACTTCTGAATAATAAAACCGGATAAGTTCATTGTTTCTGTAAGAAAGAAGGGTGTTAGAGATCATAAACTAATAATATGTATTGAGTGTCTATCAGGCTCTACCTACTTTGTAGGTATTATTAACTCTGTCCTCACAACCACTTTGGTAGATGTTTTGAATCCAATTTACAGATGAGGAAGTTGAGGCTTGACAGCACTAGGAACCTGGCCAAACCACACAAACAATGAGTGGTAGACTAGGTATTAAAACCCAAGCAGGGTCCTGCCTGGTGTTGCACAGGGTGAAAGCACAGCACTGTGAAGCCACTTTCCAAAGCCACTGCAACATGAGTTCAGTCCCTGGCCAGGGAGGTGACCCACATGGCATGACAGACCTCTCCTGTCTCACTGCTGTTTCTCTCAGCCCTGTTTCAGTCAATCTGCCTGTTCTGTTCTCCACTCTGTCTCTGGTAGATCCTCTCCTTCTACCCTCCCCCCCCCCCAACTCTGGTCTGTATCCCAGTTCTCCTATGCATAAATACATGAATATTTAAAAATAAATAAATAAAACCCAAACAGTGCAGCACCACACTATTTCCCTTCAAAGTTAGGCAAGATTTCTACCAAGCCTCCTTGTCAGCTGGCTAGATGACAATTAAACTACTCTTTGGTAGGGAAGAAATGACAGAATGATTTTGGTCTTTGTGATTTAATTCTGTCAATTACCTGAGGAAATCATTATATAAAGTAATTAAAGAAAAAGTACTCCTGGCACTCCCTGCTGGCAAAACAAGTTATAATATAGCACTATGAAGCTGTCCTCAGCCAATGAAGCAGGAATTTGATACCCTGCCAGGGAGGTGACCTACATGGCATGGCAGAAATTTCCTGACCCACCTGCTGCTCCCCTCAGCAGTGTATTTCAGTCAATCCATCTGTTCTGCTCCCCCACTCTGTCTCTGGTGAATCCTCTCACCACCACCCCCCACACCTCTAGCCTGTGCCCCAGTTCTTATATGAATAAGTAAATAAATTAAAAAAAAAAAAAAGAAACACAATTTCAGTTCCCATAGCAACCTTATGAATTTCCTTTATCTATTTAAGCCTCTGAAAATTCCTGCTGGACAAGGGGTGGAGACTTAGGTTTTAACGTTATTAAATGATAACCCAATATTAGGTATTGAAGAGTTAAAAAAAAAAAAAGGCTGTGAAACATGTTGAGGTTAAATTATAGAGTATAATGAAGTAAGGCCCTTGATTTTGTTTTGTATAGCTTATTATCTAATTAGAAACTGTTATACAGGGCAGGGAGAGGACAGCCCTGTCTCCTCAAACCTGCCATCTGCCATATCAAGACAAAACATATATGATCTTAAATGGAAAGGAAATTTAATACAATGAGTGTGCAATACAGAAAAAACAAAGAATAGTTTCTAAATCAAACACCTGATGTTACCCATCCCCTCGTGGGTAAAAGTCCACCCAAAGGGATTGGCTCAAAGCAAGGCCTGAAAGCCTTCTTAAAGCAACTTCTGGCAGAGACCCACAGAAAAGAGTCAGAAATGGCCAGGCAAGTCTGGGAGGAAATGAGCAAAATCAAAATCAATATAAATGTTGCCATAGTCACCTCCTCAGGGTCTCTCACCCACATCTGTTTCACCCAGTCCAGGACCAAGAAGCAAGCACAGTTTCTTCACATGTCTCTGATCCATGTGGCTCCCTCAGGTCTTCTGGCTCTCTACCCTCCTTCCATCCAAGTCAGTCTCCTCTCCAGATCTTCTCCTCCCTGCTCAGCTCCACCCTCTTTCTGGGTGGGGCAGAGAACCTGGAATCTCCCCTTTTCCTGGGGACCACCCTGTTACAAAATGACTTCAATGTACAGCAAATATTTGAGTAATAGTAACATAGTTTAAATAAAGATATACTTTGGCAACCACTTTTAAGTGAAAATCTCTTATTAGATGAAAAATTTCAGTGCATTGAAAAATATCATTGAACTTGAGTTCGATGTATACAGGTTATTATGGAAACACCAACTTAGGTAGGCACCATAGACTTGAGTATTTGTGCCCTCTGCCCTCTCAAAATTTATGTGGCCTAATCCCCAGTGCTTGATTTTATTTTGGAGGTGGGCTGTCTTTTTGGGATTTGATCTTTCAAGGTCATGACAGAGAAACCCTTTCTGAATAGGATTAGTGCCCTTATCAAAGGGATTCAGGGTTTGCCTTCTCTCCTAGACACAGTAAAGACAGTCATCTTTGTACAAGGAGAAAGACTCTCAACAGAGACCATCACTGCCAAGGCATTGATCTTAGGCTTCCCAAGCTCCTGAACTGTGACATATAATGTGATTGTTTAAGCCACCCAGCCTATGGCACTTTTTTTTTTCTTATAGCAGCCCAAACAAATGTAGCCAGTGAGGATTATACAAAACTATTTATTTATTCATTTTCTTAGATCAAAGCTGCATGGAAATGATCCAAAACAGAGCTTGATTATTTTCTTTTGCTTTCCCCATCTTCAGACTTCTATGTCCTTTCTACATTTTCAAAATATCAGGAAGCTAATGAAGGTTAAGCTTTAGAGCTGCCACTTGGACAAGCCCTGCCAAGGCATAATAGGGTCCTTAGAAATGTGTCTACTTGTAAATTTGTAAAACTTGCAAAAAAGATTTTGACCACTGTTGACCAAGACTCTCCCTTTAGTCAAATGTCCCTAATAGCTGGTGGCAATGAGTGGCTACAGGCATTTTTGGGATTTAGTTACAGTTAAAACTAAGTCGGGAAGCAAGTTAGTCTGGCTAACAAGACATTTATTGTTTTGCAATCACTTCCACATCAAGATAAGTTGTTCCCTGTCCCTGGATAGCAATGACTTCCAGGTATACTTGGCTGATTCATCCTGCATAATGACATAAAGGGCTAGACCCAAGGTCATATCACCATGTGAAGATGTCTTGTGGTGTTAAAAACAGAAGAAAAAAAGGGCCCGAAATGGAGTACGTTGTGGGAAGTGCACTCAGATTTAATGCCTATTGCAGTCTCAACCTCTCCCAAAAATATAATAATAATAAAGGGATCAATTTTGAGTTTCCTAATCAGCACCAGTGAGATCATCTGGATGATAAGAATGCCCTCCCCAGGCTCTCTCTGGTGGCTCAAAGCTTTAAAGCACCGCATTATGAAGCTCTATGAAGTCACTGCAGCATGAGGTCAACCCCAGCCAGGGAGCTGACCCACATGGCCTGGCAGACCTCTCCTGACCCACCCACTGCTCCCCTCAGCAGTGTACCTTATCAACCTGCCTCTTCTGCCCCCTACTCTGTCTCTGGTGAATCCTCTCACCCACCACATCTCTGGCCTGTACCCCAGCTCTGTAGGCATAAATAAATTAATTTAAAAAAAAAAGAAGAATGCCCTGCCTTCCCTGAAGGAAGGTGGCTTTGTTTTAAGTAATCTTTTGCTAATAAATTTGTTCTACCCTCTTTTTGGAGAGACCCTCCTTTTTATTTGAGCCTTTGCAGTATACAGAGGGATGCTGCCCAAGTTTTATTTATTTAATAAAGCAAGTAAAGCTTTAAGAGCTCTAGAGTAGAGCTTTAGAATCACAAACTTAGAAGTTTGTGACTTTTTTTTTTTTTAAACACAGCAAAAGGTACTGGAATATATGGTTCATAAAGGAGTTTCACAACAGTGAGCAGAGGCCTCATTTTTCATTGGTGACTAGTCATGACAAGAGAAATAGTCCTAGTAATGAAAAACATGCAATTATAAATACATATTTTCCCCTTTTATGAGAAGCATCAAAATAGAATTTGTCAGAATTCCCATGTTTATAATTTGTCTGTGCTACTAGTTGCCTTTCCAAAGACACAAATCTGTTGTGATTTTTTTCTCATTCTAAATAATCACTTTCATATCTAAAAAAAAAAAAAAAAGAAAGGAAGGAAAGGCCACCATGCCATACACATACACACACATCTATAACTATTTCAGTGGGATTTCCAATACTGTATTTACTGTATTTCATGATGCTTGTTTTTAATTTGCCTTATAAAATGAGAAATTTGGACAACATTGAGAAAGAGCAAAGAGGCATTTATACAGCAGATCTTTCCTTGAAGAGAATAAAAATGAGAATTTAATGTATTCATTTATTGCCAGTGGAACTCTTAACAAAATATTTTCTCTGCAAAAATGAGGGAGAGGTGATTGGTCATAAGTTCCTCTGGCTTTACTTCAGCATGAGACAAAATACTTAACATGAACCATGCCATGTAAGCAAGCTTTATGATCAGATAGCTTATTCTTCTACCTTTAAGTCACATTGAAACATTGTCTTATGAAAGAAGAAAGAGGTACTATGAAATCTAATTGAAAAATATATTCTTGTGCCCTGGTGGTGCAAAGGGTTAAAGCTCAGTACTATGAAGATATTGCCAGCCACTGTACCTTAAGTTCTATTCCTGGCCAAGCAGCTGACCCACATGGCACAGCAAACCTCTCCTGCCTCACCCTTTCCCCATCTTCAGACTTCTATGTCCTTTCTACATTTTCAAAATATCAGGAAGCTAATGAAGGTTAAGCTTTAGAGCTGCCACTTGGACAAGC